GGCTATATGAAAGAATATTTGTTTGATATTGTTTTGTTTTTGTGTGATAGCATATTTAAACGTGCTTCACTTGATGAAACGGTGCCCTTTTGGAGCAGGTTGTGTTCAGTGCTAATTGTAGCCCAATGTTCTCATGTTCAAAAGCTTATTTTAGACTTTTCCACCCTAAAGTCAAATGTCTGGAGCGTAGATAAGCTTTGTCCTTAATACTCCTTAAGCTTGTAGCCACATGTGGTCAGTGAATTCCCTCAGGCTACTGTTGACACTGTCACTGTAGCCTACTGAAACCCGTATCCCACAGCCTCCTCTCAGCTCTGTAAACAGTGCTGCACTACCCCCTGCTGGTCAGCAAGCTGTGACCTGCCCACACGCGGCAGCCTCATCCGACGGGTCACTGTGTGTACGTGAGGCTTCCTTTAGTTTTTCTTAGACTTGATATTACTATATATGTCAGGCTCTACTTTTCACCAGATATGACTGTGACAAAATGCTCTCGCTGCTCCTTTTCTCACCTGCAGGCCATCCTGCTGAGAGGGAAAGCGTTTACACATTCATAGGCCTAAAACAGTGCACGGTTTAGTCACTTACTGACTGCATTCAGAAAGGCCAGTGCAGGGAGCTGGTAGGAAGACGCAGCAGTGTTTATTAATGGTCCAACTGAAAGTGAATCCATTGGTTTGGTTGCAATGTAAGATATGTCATCCTTACTTTGGTTTAACTGAGATTTTCTCCCCTGTATATTTGTATTTTTTACAGATTGGTTTCCCTCAGTATTTGAGACCTGAGGAATAATTATGTGAGAACTTTTCAGAGCTGCTGCAGACATTGTAACATAAATGTAGACATTAATTTTCCAGTTCACGTTGGTCAGCAGGAGGACAAACGGGGAAAATTAGTGCTCATCCATAACTTCTGAGAGAGACTATCTGTTAGGTGTTAAGTAAGCATACTCAAATGTGCTGAATTAGGTCTTTTTGCATCCTAGACTCCTGTTTACATCATGGATTTAGCCTCACAGTAAAGTATTGATGTGGTCTTTATTCCCACAGATCTTTACCTTTTACCTTATTAAAAATTATTTAAGCCTTATTTAGAATTTAATTTCTAAACATTCAGTATGCCCTTGATGTTTTTTTTAAAATAAATTCTCAACCATAGAAGCCAATTGAAAAAACTACGTTGTGGCAGGACTGAATGTAAAATAACTTTCTTACTGTGTTGTTTTTAAAGTGAGTTATTAGTAACAGATTTAGGAGGCTGCATGTAACTGGTGCACTGATGTACCAGCAGATGGCAGTGTGGCCCAACTCATGCATCCAATATCTTAATGTAAAGGCCACATGGGGATATGGCAGTGAGTTTTAAGTCCCTCCAGTTTGGTCTTTATGTGAACTTCTAGAGTTTTAATGACTTCTAATGATGTTCTTTTTTGTACCCAGATTCATTAGATGTTTCATAAAGAAATCTCCACAGTTTTTCAAAAGTCATCAGCAGAAGTGGAATTTTGTTTTTTATAGGAATGGAGTACCACTAAAGATGTGCTCTTTCATATGAGACACGATGGTGAAGTCAACTCCAATCTGGCTGAAAGCTTGAATGAATTTAGCTTCTTAAAAAAAAAACAGGTATTTACTGGGGTGTGAAAAAAGTTCTTGTTGTAACCACAAGATGGCAGAATGAGTAGCCCTTTTGTCCATGTCTGCTCTTTGTTCTATCCAGACCACATCTTCTTTTTTCCCATAAAATAAAATCCTCTCTTTGTGAATGTTTCCCTGGAGCTTGTGGGAACTACGTCTGGTATCGAACCGCCATCCCAATGACATTTTTCATAAAGCGTTCTCATGATTTGCATGTCGGTCTCTAAATTTATTAGCAGTATGCGGACTCTTTTGATCAGGAAAGGTTGGAGCAGAGTCATCAGTGTCTTGATGGCGAGGACGTTCTGATCCAGCCACATTGTAAGAAAGGAAGCACCAGTTTGTTGGTGTGTTTGGCGCTAAGTCGTTCTAATAACAGTCTTTTATTCGTCAGAGATTCAGACCTGGTGACGCAGAGATGTTGGTAGTTAATCCACCCCCTGCTCTTGTCTTCTCGTAATCTGATGTGAGTGAAGGCGGGAACTTGTCCAAGGGTTGTAACCTGAGGTTTTCATGTACTGGTAGGGAGAATGTTTCCCCGATCTGACCCTTTTCTTTGGAAGAGGTCCTGAAACTTACCCCGTGTGGAAGGTAGTCCTGATTTTATGTCTGATCCATTAAGATTGACTGGCCAATCAGGGCCACAGCCCGAAGCCTCTGACTGACCCTTGGCCTAAATTAAGATGGAGCAGATATATGGTGTGCGGTTTCCTGGATTCTAGGACATGGTGGATGGGAGAAAAGCGAGACGGTCCGTGCTGTAAAATCTTTGACCCAGACAATCCATCCTGCTGTAGACTCTGAACTAGAGCAGGGATGTGAGAGCAAAGTGAAAACAGCTCACCCATGTTTGTGTGCGAAACCTTGAAGTAAGAGCTAGCATTATTTTATCAATCCCAACATCTTGAAGTCAGCAGTGATTTTAAAAGCCTGGCTGAATGCAGCTTTTTGCTTGTGCTAGGTGACGGCAGATGGATCTTGTGCGCACGCTGCTGGTGTCACGTCATTCCTCAGAGCTTCACAGGACCGACGCTGCCGTTTCTAAAGTTGGGCCTTTGTCCATCTCACTTTTTAGTTTACTATCTGCTTTAGATTAAAGGGTTCCAAACAGCACTGTCTGCACACCACAGACTATCCAGTCAACTGGTGCTTCAGACTTACAGATAAAGTTAGTAAAAAAATTCTGCTGATTAACTCCAGATCAGTTCGCTGTGGTCGGAGGTGGGTTTTATTTAGAAAAGAAACGAAGCATGATGCTTGATGCTTCCAGGCGCTTTCATGTAGGAAAGGTGACCTAAGATAAATGAGGATTTATTGTGAAGTTTTGTAACCATGTGAAGACTTTGTTTTGATGTGCAATACGAATATTTCAGTGCAAAAAAGTAGCAGAATATGCCATTATTTAAATGAAGTGTGGAACATACTGTACATGTGTGTGTTACTCCACTGCGTTCTCCCTCTGTCATCGAGTCATGGAGACATTTAGTATTAAAGCTCAGGTGATGAATCTAGACTGTTCTCGCCCTTGTGTCTCCTCCCGATTCCACCTCCCTCCCTCCTTCTCTCCCGTCCGTGTGAGTTTAGCATAGCGTGAACACTGAGGACATGCTGCTGTCAGCCAAAATGCTCCAGCAGCACCTCTCTCTCTTACGTATGGAGGCCAAAATGGCCACTCATCATTCCTCCCTGCCTCTCTGACTCACTCAGTAGCTCTCTGTGATTCTCCATAGTTGGGGTGTGACTATGGAAAACCACTGCCAGGGTTTACTGGTAAAGTCTGTGTGTATCAAACTACGGCTCAGCCAAAAAGCCCTCACAATTCATCAGTTCAATAGGCCCCTTTTTTCATTGCTGGGACATGCCAGGCCCCTTTTATTAACATCTAGAGTCAACATTCCCCCAGAAGGACAGGAGAAAAGACTCCAGGTCCTCTTCCTGTAAGATGCTTTTTGGAAGTAGAAGGTGAAGGGGGGCGGGGGGCTATTTGTTTGTAGATTATAAAGTTGTTAATTTTTATCTCAATAAAAGTAGCTGGATTGAGATTATTCAGAGTGGGATTTCTCAAGTTTAGGATTTTTACTTTGTCGTGCTGATTAGCAAATGTGGGCAGCATCGCTTCAATGAAATGAGTACAGTGAGTCTTCTGTAGCTTTTAGCTCATCTCCTTGAAACGATATTGAGTTTTTTAGACCTGCATGTAACTTGAAAAGATGACTTCATACATAACCCAGCTCAGATGTACATTATTCCAAAGACATTTTGTGGTACGTTGTAAGGGTAGTTTATTTATTTTTTGTCTTTTTTTTTTTCTAAAGGTTTTGAAACTCAGGTAGCCTGAACAGATTTGAACCTTCAGTCTTTCCATCTGCAGGCTGACATGACAGCCGGTTCCAGCAGCATTTCCTCATTTTTTTTCAGGCATTAACTAATACACCTGATTTAAAAAGAGGCTGTGGTGCTCTGTTCTGATCATTTTTCTTATCAAAGTCAGTCAGAGACAACTAGCCGGTATGACTTAAATGCAACTTGCTTGAATCTTTTCACTAGATGTGTGGTTAACTGGTAGAGATTTAGTGTTGTAAGCACTCTATGATATGTCCAGGTGATCTTTCCCAGATGTCATGTGCTATTAATTGATTTTGTCTGTTAGGACAAGTCAAATCCCCTGGACTGCACTTGTCCCTAGCCTGTTGTTTCTTGGCTGGCCGACTCTAATCCAATAGAGGCCCAGTTAGTGCACATTATGTTTTCTATTTGCCGGGGCTTTAAGCCACCTTAAGACCTCCTTTCAATGAGATATGACAGGATAAGACCCTAAAGCAGAGGGTACGTTGTCTATCACGCACAGTTGGCATTTGAAATCCCAAATAATTTGCCTCCTGCAAAATACATCTATCATTAAAAAGGTGCTAGTATGACTCTATAAACACCTTTTTGCTTTTAAATTGTTATATCAGAAACGCAACGTCAAAGTATTTGGGTCAGGAGGGGGCTGTGACAGTATTGGGCATGTTCAAGAGGCCCAGGATTATCGTATAGCCCCAGAACATCTCAGGCTATAGACGGCAGAGCACTTGCAGCGTGGAAGCATGGAAATCACTGGTGCACATGCTAATCTCACTTGATGGTTTATGTAACGCGCCCACTGTCACATGATCGCACGTCACCGCCAGTCCAGCAACTGTGTATCCAGCAATTCACTCTTTCGCCAGCCATGCAAACAAATGTTTGGCACAAAGAAAGGATGAGGCGCGCACATGTATGACCATAATGCATCTAAAGGCGTGACCCAGATCTGTTCACCAATGGCAGAAGGAACAAGGGCTGTTTGAAAAAACGCCAAACAAAGAAGCTCGACACGCACTGCTGCGTAACTCCGGAGTGTGTTCCATCCATCCGAGCAGCGCCTCCATGAGAGTGCAGGGAATACAACTGAGAGGCCATGAAGAGATGGCCATGAAGCTTTTTTTCTGGGAGCTGGAGCAGCATCTCAAAAGGTAAAATGAAGCTAATCCCCGCGGTTGCTGCTGTTGTGTTCAGCCAGTCATGGCTCAGGTGGTGGCGTCAGCTTTGAGGGATGCTGGGTGTCGTTATTGTACTGCCAGATCTCTTTTCATTTATTCCCTAAATGGGGAGGTTAAATGCGTCATGAAATTGACAAACTCACATCTGCTGTACAGTGTGTTCACCAGCATGATGCATTTTTTATCTTCCTCCGCTATGCGAGTGTGTCATTGCATTCATCTCTCGTGAACTTGCCACCTTTTGTAGTTTTTAAGATGTCTGTTCTGATCTTGGCTTTTAAAGGCTGGCCCACCACATTTACTCTGTCTGACTTGAACCCATACCAGTGCTGTTTTATTCTAACCCTGATGGGAGAGTGAATATGATTTGCTGTAGTGGTAAGGTATGTTTTTCAACTCAACACTCAAACAAAAGTTATATAGTTAAAATGCAAAATCGCTGTTAATTAATGTCATATAAATGTAGAGCATCAGCCTACACTGAGCTTAATGTAGTATGGGTCATTTTTCAAGCTCCCTTTCTAGGTCACTGTGCTACTATTGAATGGCCTATCTTGGTAATTCATACAGGGTGAAACGCCTATTCTTCCTTTTTTAAAGGAATCAAGCACAAAGTCAAAAATATTTTGGCTTTACCAAATGGAACCCAATGTTTGAGTTAAGAGACAAACAAGCTGATGATCCTCCGATGGGAAACTCTAACTTCTTGCTGGCATTCTTTAGTGTTTTTTTTTTTCATAACTAATATCTAGCTGAAAATTCTGATTTCCCACAGCTATCTCATGCATTATCTGCATTGCAACAGCGTCCTCCCTTTAAATAAAACAATCCAATAAGACTTTCATCATGGAAAGTATGACGAAACGAACTGGGTTGACCTGTGGTCAAAGTTCACACGGAATATAGCCGGTCAAAAACAAAGGATGCGGCCACCCTTAAATCATGACAGTCAGAATCTACAAAGATTCAAAGTGTGTTAATTTATGCACCTGGAAGCATGAAGACTATGCAAGGGTTTGAATCTTCTTGAGCTTCGGTTGTAGTGTCTATTTGGGTGTAGATAAGTGGATAAAACCTCTTCCAGTAAAAGACGCAACAGGAAGAGATAAGTGTGGCTTAGGACGTTTTTTTAAGCATTTGGTCTCTTCTTACATTAAGTACTTAGGTGTTCGACTGGGATACAAAGCAGGGTGTGACATCAGCACCTGAGCTTGTGTTAGAGCCCTCGTCATGGTACTGTTACTTAATAAGGCAGGAGTGTAGTTTTCATAAACAAATCAGATGAACCCTCTGTTTGAGGGGAGTTTCCAGCCATTCTGACTATACCCAGCTGATTCCCAGACTGGTAAACACACCCGTTTATATAGTCTTATGTAGTTTATGCTACTCTCCTGATACTGTGACATAACGCTTTCCAACTGGAAATCTGACAGATATTTTCTTATAGTACTTTAAAGCAGACTTATAAGAACTCTTCTGTAGAAATTTGTCAAATCTATGGGATATCATATTTGAGAAGACCGCGGTCTGCCACCTGAGTTTTCTGTGCAGGCTCAGACAGGAAACAGCTGGTGAGGAGCATCATTTTGGAGCCGGTTGCTTATAGATGCTATAAAAGCTCATTGTTTGGCCCATTCTGCAATACTGCCTCAGCGATTTTAGTATTAGTTTTTTAATAAAGTTGGGATGGATTAGAATCGTTGCAAGATCAAAAAATTTGTCAATTTTTCATTCTCCTTAATGTGTGTTAAGACAACCCCCTCTTCCTTTTAACAGATTTAAAAAGACTCCATCAGCAAACACTTTTTTTCCTCTTTTTTTATGGACATGGAATGTGTGAGACTGGCGGTGGGGAGGATGAGGAGGTTGCTTAGTAGTTGTGAGGTAGATATTTCTGTGGAGGAGATGCTCGGTGTATCTAAGACCAAGTTTACTCCCATGTATGAAGTACTGTGAATACATTTTCTGGGTGTGTGATGTTTGAGTCGGATTAAACACACTGACCTCTATCACCTTAAGATGGACATTTTACAGACTCTTTAATGGGTGCTTAACCGACTTGGACTGAATATGCCATCATTATGCTTACAGAGCAACTCTGAACAGGATGTGGAGCACGAACGTCTGACATCAGAGGGTGTCTGGTTGTTGGGATTAAAAGTGTTATGGTGCATCAGGAACCACTCATTTTTGCAGGCATTTGTCCTCCAAAAAAAGGCTAAACGTGAGGGTATACTTGATGTCCAGACACACCCATTTATTAATATAATACTTGAAGCATAAGCAACATAAATTAAACCTGCGTAAATAATTTCACCTTGAAACGTAGCAAGATGTTCTGCTTCCATTTAATAAATGGAAAAAAATCCTTCCTTGGGCATCTTTAAATGGGTCTTTAGTGCTGGATGTTATGAGTCCTGTGAACTTTTAGGTAGGTTTGTGATAAGTTTATATCGTATATATATTTGTGTAAAAAATCTTCTTTTGTTCTTTGTCTAAAGTCAAAGTTAACATGTATGTTTGTTACCTTTAAATAGCTACATTCTCTTTGATTGCTGATCAAATTGTGTCCTAAAATTGACACAAATTCTCTCTAGATGTTACACCCTTTTGCCACCTGTCTCACAGATGTGCAGTACAATGCAAGGTCACACAGGGGCAGTATAGATGTATACATTTCAACACCGTAGGCATCTGAAGCACTCTTGTCTCAGATACTCTAAATACTACTAGAGTACTGAGTCATTTAACGCATTAGAAATCTTAAGTCTGATCGATACAGAAGAGTGGTGTGAGTTAAACTGTATGTCAGATATAACATTTTAGGAAAGACTGGGTAAGATGTGAGTTTAAGTTATAGACTAAAGTAATTTTAATTTATCCACTGATGTTCTTTGTTAAGTTTACCTCGGGAAAAAAAAAGGCTTAACTCATGTTGATAGGAAAAAAACAAACAAACAGAAGTTTGGCTAATTGTTCCAGTGGGAACACTCTTCATGAACACCATAAACAGGATCTGCTCAATAGGTACAGCTGTAGAAATTCAATTCTGTTTCTGAGAACCAAGGCAGAGTCCTCATTCCCCTCCTGTCTGCATCCTCCCCTCTGCCCTTGTCAGCTAAGCGCCAGGTGGGGGCGTGGCCGCATATATTATGCAAAAAAAAAGCCTCCAGCTCGACCAATCAGGACGCTCCTCCCCTTTGTGCCGCTGGATAAATTATGCGGGCTTGTGGAGAGCCGCAGACCTTTGTGTACCGCTGAGATGAGCTGACCTTGGCTGCTGTCTGTACCGCGACGGCCGGCGCGAGCCTCACCGGAATACAACTCCGAGTCTCATCTTGTGGATGTGTCTGGCAAAGAGCTGTTCGCGTGGAGGTGGACCGTGGGTCGTCCGTTAAACTGGCTTTTAAAACATGAACAGCATGAACGCGTCGTGCTACTCCGTGGCCATGGATCTAGGCGTCTGCCAGCTGAGAAATTTCTCCATATCGTTCTTGTCGTCCTTGCTGAGCGCGGAGAGCTCGCACGTCAAGCTCGACAATAGGTAAAGACAGGCCGTCCCAGGCTGCTCTGTATTCACGACTCAGCTCGTTTCACCTGCCACCGTCCCCGCTGCTGCTGCATTATGCCTGTGTTCAAGCACCCGCTGCCCTAAACGCTACCCAGTCGAGTCCCACACTGAAGCCAGGCAGCCTCTTTTATAGAAATTTCCAGATGCTTCCTGTAACGGCCCACATTCCTACAAAGGAGGAAAGGCAGCTTCCACGGAGCTCCGTGGGCTGCCCTTCTCTCATCTCTTCACTGCAGCGAAGAGTGGCCGAAAATGTCTTTATTTCTCTTTTCTTCTTTTACAGCTCGTCAGGAGCCAGCGTCGTGGCCATAGACAACAAGATAGAGCAGGCAATGGTGAGTTTTTTCAGTTACCGTTTTTCTCGCATTGGAAAATGTCGACGACAGTGGCTATGACTCTGTAATATGCCGAGGGTCGCCAGAAACCGAGACGTGATAAAGAAAATCGGCGAATGAATTTGACCCCCTTTGTTTCATGTCTAGTTTAGTAATTTAACCGCAGGGGTGTTAAAATGCAGTCGCCAAGTTAAACATTTTTACATCTTTCATTAAACGTTAACAAGCTGGGGGGTATTACAAATGGTTCTTTTGTCATTTGTGATGGTGCTACACTTTTTGCTAAGCTGTTGTTGGAGTAGTGATGCTTTAACCTGGTGTCATCTGCGGCTACTTTAATCTGTGGCTATATCCAACTTCATTTATTTCTGTTTTTCAAGCCATGTGTTTGATAATTAAAGTATGTCTCCTTGGGATATCGTTTGAGTAGGACTTCTTTTTAAACGATTTATAGAGATAAAAAAAAGCAAACAGGGCTTCGTTTACCAGTCAACCACCGTGCCGTTGTCACCTCTGTTGCTAGGCAAACTGAAGGATTCTCACGCACAGATATAAATATATCTGCCTGTGATTGGCTAACTGGGAAACGTGGGCAGGGTCAGTGACGTAGCACTCTGGGAATATTGTCCCAACACCTTTTTCCTTTTGTCGTTTGTTTCTTCAATTATGACCAAATAACGCTGCATAAGGACTCTCTATGTTAGGGTTTATTTAGCAATGAGTGAATATTTTATGAAGTTTTTGTGATCTGATGATCACTTTGTTTTCACTGTTCAATGTCTGCATGGTGATAGTTCAGGCAGTGTGTTTTTAGTTTCCTATTTTTCTTTAAATTTATTTAATAAAACTTCCTGTTGTGTTTTTACTGACTTTAGCTAAACATGTTCATTACATTTCTGAGATTTAATATCACTTACTGGAGACACATTCGCTACACTCGTTTGCTACCTTTAAAGCTAAGATTTAGAGGGGAATGGACGTTTTTAAGTAGTCTGTACTACATACATAAAGTAATATCTGACATAATTACCATTAAGTGTTTTGAAAGTTTACAGCTGCTCATCAGTATAACGTTAATAGTTTCCACTCATAAAGCTATGCCTCGGTTTTCTGCAGGACCTGGTGAAGAGTCACCTGATGTACGCGGTGCGGGAGGAAGTGGAGGTCCTGAAGGAGCAGATCAAGGAGCTGATCGAGCGGAACTCGCAGCTGGAGCAGGAGAACACACTGCTGAAGACTCTGGCCAGCCCAGAGCAGATGGCCCAGTTCAAGGCCCAGGTTCAGACCGGCTCTCCACCGGCACCGGCCACAGCCGCCCAGACGGGACCCCCGAACAGCGCCCCCCTCGCCCAGCCCGCCTCGCACAGCTCCGGGCCCTCGGCGTAGCCCGCTCTGCACAGAGAGACTCGACTGACTCACTTTACAGTTTGGAGCTCTGCTACAGCTGCAGAGTCAAACATTGCCTTCTACAGCCGGAGGTTACGCTGTTTAGACAAAAAAATTTGCACATATTTATCTCTGAAGGATGCAGCCAGTGGGAACCGTGGGGATGTGCTCCTCGGCACAGCGAAGGGCGACAATCTTTAGATGCTGTACGGGTGGTTGTGTTTAGGGGGATGAATTATCAAACATTTGCCAAAAAAAAAAGCCCTTGGTCATCAACAAGAATGTCTTATCAGAAGAAATAAAACAGCTTATCAGTGACGACAATGTACCTAGCTATAGATAAAAAAAATCACTGTGCCTGTGTCTGGATTTTAAGTGATATACTGACAATGGAGCAGTGGGAGGTGGATTGTAATGGCCGTTACATATTTTGCTGAATGATGTAAATAAAAGCGGATCTCTATCGAGGCTTGATCCTACATGTTGAGACTTGTACGAGGGAAAAAGCCTTCTCAGAGTGACAAATGAAGAATGTGAGCATTTATTATCATGACAAAGCCCCATCTGGAATGGGGGAGTTGGCGGGGAGGGCTGGGGAGGGGGTGGGAGGTTATTTTGAACAACACTTGGCAGCATTGATGATGTTACTTAAACTGTGGGTTGGTGGGATGAACAAAACAGTTTCTTATAGAGAGGATGATGATCTATTTTCAGTATTTCACTTTTGAGCTTGTCATTTTTGCCCTCGACAAAGCTCCTTGTTGCTGTTTTCCCAACCCTGCAGTGGCATGTCATTTAAACCTTATTTTACAGGGTTGAGACATTGGGCTAAGCTGCGATTTCTTTCTTTCTCCTGTTTCTTCTCTCCCTTTGCAAAAAAGCACAGGGCAGAGGAGGATGTACATTTCTGTATAGTGTAAGTACGATGTAAAATAGTGAGGAGGGGAGGAAGAGAAACAACAGATGCTATCTAGGTCACACAGACTGATGCAGATGAGCAAGAAACACGCTGGACTTGCCCGGTCTGTGTCATCTATTTTTAATGCTGAATTTTCAGGACTGTGGATGGACAGGAGTTTGGGTTATTTAACAGACAACAGCCAACCAACAGAGTTGTCCTTTTTTTTTTTCCCTTTCTGCAACATAAACACTTGACTGTAAGACAATTTTAATTTTGCTCTTTCTTTTCTCTCTCTGAAGTATTGCACCTGTTAATATTTTTTTTTATTTTTTGACAGTGAATAAACACCTTTTTTTGTTTGGATCTGAAAATGCAACCTTGGTAGAAAAAAGAATCTCACACACAATTTCTGGAGATGTTTTTTTTGTTTTTCATCCTGTGTATCAGTTGTATGCTCATGTTCTGTGCATGTTTTTCCGCAAAGACCGGATGAGATAATGTAACATTATTACCTACAATTGCACTTGACAGCCGCACTTCACAACTTTCAATAAACATGCTTAAGGAAGAATAACAAACTTCTCACCTTTTTTTAATCCTTTGAATGGTGCAAATGAACGCAAATGTGTTGATTCAGATCCGTTATCTAGATTAAACAAAGCATTGTTTTACTTGATCGGCTTATTTAAATATCCTTTCACAGCCAGTAATCTCTTTATAGGACAATGATACCAAAAAAACAGCGAAACTGTTATTAGAAAACCTGTTTGCACATGTGCGAGCGTTTGGAGATCTCGGTGAGCATTTTTTCGTGGCTGGTCGTGTTTGCTTTTCACAGTTGACCGTTTAGTTGGACAGGAATCCCACTTAGTCCAAAAGGCCTTTTTATTTCCATGCGATGTGTTTGTTGTGGTAAAGAGCAAAAACCAGGATGTGGTCGCTGTCCCATCTAAGCAGAAACCAAAGAATGAACTCAACTCCCAACAATGGACTTTAGCCACTTCATTTGAAAAAGCCCACACGCAGCTAAACATGGACAGGCAGTCATTTGAATCATTTCAATTGATTGTGAGATCAATAATGCAGAAAAAGTAAGTTGAGCTCTTTGCAAATGAGCTGTGATTGATTCAGCTCTCCTCAGAGAGGGAGATATACTGACTGAGGTTCTTTCCTCCTTTTCCTGTGTGGAGTTCACATGCCGGCCTAGGAGGGACTCTCAAAGACAACAAAAAGAGTTTTAAATTTAGTGAGCTTACGGATTCGCTGTCTTTTAAAAAAAATCTCTGTCTGGCTTTAAGTAAATCCATTCACCTAAAAGAAAAGCCACTTGTGAGTGGTGTGGATTTCCACTCTTATAGAGTCAATACCAGAGCACAGCATTTAATGGACTTTAGGCAGCATTACGTGAGGTTATATGAAACTCTCACCTGCAACTTTTGCCAGAAAGATTCAAATCTGAGCCACAAATCAGCTGTGAAGCACAACAGTGGGAGTATTATGGTTTGAGGCTGCTTTGCATGCAGTCTTACACCACTGACTCAACAAGGAATTCTGCTCTGTCAGCTGATGATCGGTTCACCCACTGGCCCTGAACGCATCAGCACTGAGCAACACATTCTGCAAAAGCAGGAAGCAGATTCTGTCTTAATGCTCAACATTTATTTGAAAAAACATTCTTTTGGCACAATACAGACAGATAAATAGACATATATGGCACATTGTTCACCGGCAGCACTCACACACACACACACTCACACACACACTCACACACACACACATGAACAAGCAAATGATGAAACATGTTCTCCAGCCAGCGTGGTTTTTTCGACTGTCCATAGAAAAGCTGGCAGTACCACAGACTGCAACACTGTAAACGCTGATCCAGGCCACGGCTTCGTCCACGGGGGGGGGGGGGGGGGGGCTTCTCAGTCCGAAGTCTTTGGGTCTCTGAGGGGCGGTGGTGAGAGAGAGCTGGCGAGGGCTGGCCGGCCTCAGTGAGGGCATGAGGATGGGCCGGAGGGTCCACAGCATCCTTTTGAGTCACATCCCCATTCGAATGCTTTGGATAATCTGGAATATAGCTGAGGACAAAGAGAGAGGCCGGTCAGGGCATGTTTGTCCTCCCTCCCCGCCTCCCCCCACCTCCCCCTGGCATAAACAACTTCTAAACATCCCCAAAAAACTCAGATTGTCTGCAAGGGAACTGCGTAAGTGGAAGAACTGCTCTGAAAACTGTATATACACTAACACAAACAGTCAGTGACAACAAACCAGAAGGTCCCTCCTACTTTGAGCCCCCCCCGCCCCAGTTAATTTAAAACGTATGTACCTGATCCGCAAACTACAAATACAAATAGGGCCAGCAGCCAGGGACCCACGGGGTACTTCTCCTCCTGTGGTCGCTAAAAAGGGAACACAAAAAAAAAGAAGAAAAAAAAGAAATACAGACACGTTGCAAATGAATAAAACTGTTTCGAAACAAACAAGTGTGATGCTGTGAAGCAAAAGTAAAACAGCTGGATAGACTTACACAGACGTTTCTTATTTCCATCTCTGCCCACGTTTTTTGTTGTCACAGCTTTTTTTTTCCCTCAAACCTTCAAGCAACACTCATCTTTCCACCTTTTTTCCCCTCCCTTAAACAAACATTAAAACGGCGGCTGCTCGTCAAAAAAAGCGTCCACCGAGCAAACTGCCCAAACCACCGCGACCCCAAAGACGCTGAGAGGGAACCAGGTGGGCAGCTTTTCTTCCCCCCCCCCCCCCCCCCCCTCTGGGTTGTGGGTCATCAGCTGAGGGGCCTCCTGATGACATCATCTGTTTGGACATGTTACATGTTTGTGTTGTGGGGGAAGCTTCTACAGTCGGTGACGACACACACATGCTGGAGGGAGAGAGAGTGGGCGGAAAAATTTCTTCCAGACACAAATGGAGACACAGTTTAGAGATGGACGGGGCTCAGAAATGACCGGTGGGGTGACTAGAGCTACCCTGTTACTGACCCCAGTCACAGAACTGAGAGAAAACTATGTGACATAGACGCCAGTTGGCATAATTATACATATATATATATAATTCCTACTGGTATCTACTTATCTACTTACTTACTATGTATATACATATATATACATATAGACACAAATAAAGTCAGAACTAAATATCCATCATAACAACCTCACTACCCAGTAAGAGACCAAAGAGAACATAAACTAATAACTAACTACATTTTCTGCTGTCAGTAAAACGCTCTCACGATGAAAAACATTTTTTAAAAAAACAGGACCCACATTTGTGTCTGGAACCCCCCCCCCCCCCCCCCCCAGCCACTAAAGAGCCATGAACTTCCACAGAGGAGGGCGGTAACTAGCATCCACAGGACCACCATCCCTACACGTTACATCTGGAAAGAGCATCACTTTCTGTGGGGTGGAGGGTGTGTGTGTGTGTGTGTGTGCGGGTGTGTGTGTCTGTGTGCTTGTAGGGGGGGGGGGGGGTTACAACCAGCTGCCCAAACAGAAGAAGAACAAGAAGAACGCTGAGAGAAACGCACATTTTCCCGCCAGCTGACAGCCGCCACCACCGCCATGCAGCTGTGCTCACACCGGGGCGGACGTCACCTATCCGGGCTAATGTCATGCTGGCACCTGGCAGTGTCTGGAAGTGGGGGGTGGTGGTGGTGGTGGTGGTGGTGGTGGGGGGAGCTCACCAGCGTCTTGGCTACGTTTCCTCTCTGCGTGATGTTCTTGCTGTGTTTCTCGTTGGCCATGCGGATCCTCTGTTTGGCCACCATCTTCCAGAGCGAGGGGCAGCAGCGGCAGGGCTAATTTGGGCTGCTTTAGCCTGTTATTTACTGATGCTGCAGGCTGGCGACAGCAACCCGGTGTCAGACTGCGAGGACCGCGGCGCGAGGAGTCCGGAAACGGAGGTTCCATTTCAAATTACGGGCCCGTGAAGACTCGCTATTCGACACGCCTTTCGCAAGTAAGCGGGGTACAGTACGAGTCTCTAAAGGGGGGGACGGGGGGTAAGAGGGGGTGGTGGTTATTGTTTAATTGTGTTTTCAAAGTTCTTCTCACGGGTGAAACGTCCCCAGAAAAGACAGCACTTTTATTTTGTTGGGTACAACCGGAAACAGGAAGTCTGAAATCTCCGTGCTTGATGACGGTTTCTCCTTTGCACCTGTCGGGAGACGTGCGCGTGTCCAGGAGCGCGCTCAGGTAGTAGAAATGAATTGGATTTGATTATACCTGCAGGAATGATGAAGTAAACAAACAAACAAACAAGCGTTTGCAATAAACTTTCCATAAGTGTGAGGATATAAAACCAAGTTAATTTGGTAACTTTTTAACTCTTTTATGGATGTACACTTGAATGGTGTTACTGTGTGCTTATTGGTGACAGACTGAGAATGTTTAAACCATTAACAACTAATTTAGGTCTGTTTCAGTCAAACTTATCACCAAAGCCCTGCAGCTGATATTAGAAATTAAAAGATGGGTAAATTGTTGCCGTCCACTCTTGCAGTTAGATTTAACAACTAAAAGACTAGACTAGACTCAGGGGGAACTATTAAATGATTAAAGCTAATGTTGAGGTTAGTCCAGCTGCTTTCCACTTTCTTTTCTTTTCTTTTTTTTGTTATAAACTTATAACTGCACATAAGTCCCTGCCAGAAATCTGACAACACAGGGAATAACCAAACTAATATCAACATTAGGCCTGACCACAGAGGAATAGTAGCTGTCTGGCTCCCTGTGATGGGCGCCGGCGTGTCAGTCAGAACTCCGTCTGACATCTGACAAGATGGCAGCTCGCTGGCTGTCGAGAGCAAAAGCTTGGGCACGGACAGAGCAAGGGTTGCCTAGCAACTGAATCTGGGTTGGGGTGGGTGGGACACACAGGCAAACTCCACCAGTGAAAAAGAAAATACATGGACAGATGAGTCTAAACAGCTGACTCATAATTAAGAGTG